GATTGTATAGAACAGCAACTTCAAAAATAGACGGCCAAAAATACACATTTTCATTTATAGATTAGATTTCAATATTTTTGGTATTGAAATTAGCTCAATGACTTTATTTCGTCAAGGTAATAAAAACTTTTCAAAAAATCTTGGCACTTTTTCTCATCTTCTGCACTAATTCCATCCATTTTGGAAATCTTTTCACAAAGGCTAATAGCATAATCAAGACAAACTTGGTCGTCAATACTATACTTTGCTTCCAATTCCTTCACCAAATCTTTTCCAACAGAAGACAAAGTAGTCTCAAAGTGTTTTACAAAATTTTTTTTTAGATTTCTTAACTCCTCCATTTATTTATAGATTAGATAATCACAGCAGGGGGGTTTTGGGGGGAGGCACTCTTCCCACAGGGGGGTAATCAATAAATTTTTGTTTGTATTTTTTAGCATATTTATCTGCTACAGGAGTTTGGTCAATTATCATTTTATCTATTACATTTATTCTATCAATAAACTCTTGCTTATTCCATTCATCTCCTCTAAGAGCTGATCTCAATTCTACAAGTATCTTAGCATAAGTTGTATAAGCAATTCTTGTCATCTCAATTTTTCTTTTAAAATTCTTCTTCTTTCCAATGCCAGCCACAATAATACCAGCTCCATTTATAGAACCAAGAATAATTGGGTTTAGTGTTATTCCACCAGCAATTGTTCCTATAGCCACAAGACTTAATCCTGTTATAGTAAAAACATCATCCAAAATTTTATATCTTTTATAAGACCTTTTAAAACACCAAAACTTTTTGTGGTAATGTTTATAAAAATCTTTTAAAACATTTATATCAGATTCTGACAAAGATTTATCAATGTGGTTAAATTCAAAGATGTCTTTCATTTTATTATAAGGGGAACCTACGGTTCCCCTAACACCCCTCCCTTGGCTACGCAACGTAGCACAAAAGAAAGTTTTATTTATTGATTATATTAAAGCGGCGTAGCCAGCAGGGGGGTTTTGGGGGGAGGCACTCCCCCCACCTTATACTACATAACTTCCGTTTAACTTTTCTTGAAGCAATACTTTATGATATTGATCTGAATCAATGTCGTAAAAGTTTGGAGAAAACATTATTTTACTTAACACTCCATCTTGAGTTAAAAACAAAAACTTTTGTTGGTTAGTGTATCTAACGGCTTGTAAGCTTAATATTGCGCTGTAGTTACTTATTTTAACTTTTGTAATATTTTGGCTAAAATCTTCTGCCAACCATATAACAATTTTTTTTCCGTTAAAACTACTTGGCATGGTTAATTGACTTCTTAAACTATTAACCTTTAAAATTAATGTGTTTTTATTTGAAGAATAAGTTAATTCTAATAAATCAGGTCTACTATTTGTATCTGTATTTATTTTAAATAATGTAAATGATCTATTTCTCCAGTAATAAAATATTAAACATAAAGTATATTTTGTAATACCATTAGGAGGAGTAAAACTAATATTATAATTATCAACATTTAGACCTTCTTTTCTTATATTATCTATGGTTTTATCAGGTATACTAATATCTCTTAAAGTATTACCACTACTTGAAGATAAATAGTTAAAAACAATACCAGATGAGGTACTACTCAATTTGTAATTAGCGGCATTAGTAAAATCATAAAAATCTTCGAAATAATTTCTATAAAGATTGTCTATAGTAAATTTAGTCATTCCTAATATTTGTCCAATTGTAGCAACACTGGATAAATCATTTGGATCAATTTTAATATTTTTAATTGTTTTTTGATTTGCATTAATATCAACATTGTAAACAACTTCTGTTGGTTTGATATCAAATGCGGTGTGATAATCATAAACTTTATCTGGATCGATATTGCTAAATGTTCCCACAATTCCATAAGTAATTATATAAACTCCTGAAAACTGTCTCGGATAAACAGCTAAGTCAGTTCCATCTTGTGGTATATTAACCAAAAAATGAAGAAAGAACCTATTTCCGATTGACAACTTCCGGAAATTAACTATTATTCTATGGTAATACATAAATGCTTGTTTCCTCTTAAATTTGTGTACCTATGAGATAGTTTTCTTATACTAAGATTTCCAATTGATAATCCTGTTGAAGTTCCTTTGTCCACACTTATTTGAGTCTTATGCCATAGTTGATAATCAGTGTTGAGTATTTCCAAGCACAGAGTGTATTCGGTATTAGCAGTTAACCTGTAAAAGTTGATTCCCATTTTGTACTTATATCCACCTTGGGAATTTTTGTTTATACCTAAATAAATAACTTTGTGGTTATAATTGTGAAAGTTTCCTTGGTTTAGTGCTAAATCTCCTATTTTTTTTATAACAAAACTGGTTCCGGTATCTATTTCATCAATCCATTGAGACCCACTTGACATGAGATAAGCAAACTGGTTGTTGTAATGACTTGGTTGAACTGCTGTTTTGTGAACTAGTTTGTCAGCGTAATCTTTATTTACCGCGTCATTGTCTTGGGTTGGTTTACTAAGATTTATTATTTTATTATTACCAACATTAAGATCCCCAGTCATAGCAACGGTACCATCTTTTTCTAAATAATCGCTTAAATCTGGAGCACCTGTGTTATCATCCACATACTTTTTGGTTGCGGCTTCTGTGTTTGATGTTGGAGTTGCGAGACCAACTATTTTTTTGTTTCCAAGATTTAGGCTACTAGTCATTGATACACTTCCATCTTTTTTTATAAAAGAACTAGTATCAGGTATTGAGTCATCCACATACTTTTTGGTTGTTGCATCTGTGTCTGATGTTGGTGGTCTAAGGTTAACTATTTTTTTATTATCCATGTTTAGATTATTAGTCATTGTAGATGAACCATCACGGGCAACATACTTTAAATCTGTAAAAGCTAATGGTGTTGGTTGATTAGCTCCATTTGGAGCTGGTAGATTAAATATTCGATTATTATCCATATTGAGATTACCTTTCATTGGGTAGGAACCATCTCTGTCAAGAAATGTGTTGTCTACGTAATCTTTTGTAGGAGGTTCTTTTCCATCTAGTAGAGTGCTAAGATTTGTAATACGATATTGGTCCTTCATATCTACATTTGAATCAACTGTTAAACGTGTTGTCGAGGGTGATCCACCAGAATTATCATCAACATACTTCTTTGTAGCGGAATCATTATTATCAGTGGGTGCTCCTACATTTGTGAGTCTTTTTTTATTCATATCATAATTTCCATCTGCGGTTAAACTAAAACCAACTCCTGGGGCACCCTGTATTCCTTTGGCAAAAGGAAGACCAAACGATTGTTCGTTAAATATACCCATTTTATCTAATGTTTATATTTCTTTTAAGGAAAGAGGGAGGGGGGTCGTAGGGGGGAACCGTAGGTTCCCCCTACATATTATTGGTGAAGTTTTTAGCAATACGTTTTTTTGGTTTATCGATGTATAAAAATGAAAAGGGTTTTCTTGTTGCCGCTTTATACGCCTCTTTGTCAACTCCTAATTCGGATGATATTCTGTTTGCTTCTCTCGATGATGGAAATTCGTACAGACAGTAATGAGAACAATTCAACCGAATATCTTTTGGGGTTTTGTAAAATGATTGACTGAGGTAGATCAAATAACAATTTTTATGTCGTCCTTGAATAAAATAATCAATAAGTTGTCTCTGGTTTTTATCACAGACGTAATCATCGAATATCACAAGTTTTTGATTGTCTTCGTAATCCATTTCTGTAACCGGGGTTATTTCATCGTTACTCACATGAAGTATTTCATATCCAATTTTACTACTCAACTCCCTCATTTTTTTGATGAGTTTTTGATACTTATCCTGTTCAAGATTACGTGCGTAAAGATAAATCTCATCGTAATGCAACAGTGGTTTGATTAACATATGATATAACAAATTAGTCTTACCACTTCCGCTGTTTCCACAGATTAACATTCGAAACGTATCCGCCGGCATAAAAGGAAATAACTGTTTATATTTTTTATTAATGTCATCGGCGCTATCATAATTTGGTATTTCCATTTATCTAATGATTAAATAAAAATGGATATAGAAGAAGCTAAAAATTTTGCAAAAAATAAAATCGAAGCCGACGCTTTGGTACGGCAGGTTAGAGATGTTATAAAAACAACAAAATGGCAAAAACAAGATATGCGGGAAGGTTTTAAAGAAACATTTAAACCACTTATTAAATCTCAAGATTCTATTAAAAAAAGTATCGACGAACAACAAAACGCAACTATAGCACAGCTCAAAGCTAATCAACTTGCATTAACATCAGGATTGGAAAAAATTAATGAAACTAATTTAAGATTGGCTGAAATGTCCGAATTACCAGCTTTGGAAGGTGATTATGATGAACCTACAACATCTAGACCAAGATCACCTTCACGTTATAACATTGAAAAAAATCTTGACAATGTGGATTTAGGAGTACTGAAGGATATGGGCTACCCAAGACCAAATGATTTTTTTGATACTAACCCTAAAAGACTTAGAGAAATACGTGATGAAGTAAAAAATGATGTAAAAGTTACTACAGGGCAAATAGCTGGTTTGAAGAGAAAAAAACAAAAAACAGAAGATGAAAAAATGGAAATAGAATTTATTCAAATGCAAAAAGATTTACTACATAAATACAAAAACATTCTTGAACTTTATTTAGGTTCGCTTGATTATAAAATGGGTCAAGGAATGATTTACTATAACAACCCACATCAACTTCTAAACAGACTTGAATTACTTGGTGGTTCAATTCTAGCTGGGAATAATGGTGTAAAACCTGAGTTTTCTCAAATAGCACATCTTCTCAACCAAATGAAAGTGATCTCAAAAAAACAGCTAAATAACTTAATAAAAACTTATATATAAGGTGGGGGGATTGCATCCCCCCAAAACCCCCCTGCTAAGCGATTTATATAATCAATAAATAAAACACCTCTATGTTAAGAGGGAGGGGTGTTAGGGGAACCGTAGGTTCCCCTTATTATAAAATGGAAGAACGAGCTATTCACATTTCTTCGATAAACAGAGAAAAAAGAGGAACAAGCAGACCTGGTGATTTTACTATCAAATTTAACCCATCTTTGGAACTTGACCCTGAAAAGAAACATCAACTTGCTCTTGATCGATTGTCCATGACTTATTCTTGGTACAACATTAGAAGTGATTATGGAAACAATAAAATCAAATACACTCATGATGGAACCAACTGGCAAACAATTACTTTTACAGATGGAATGTATTCCTACTCAGATATCAATGATTACATTCATCAATATATGTCTCAAAAGTCTCATCACTCAACAGATTCAAGCGGAAAAAAAACTTATTCAATCAATCTAACTTTTATACTATCTACCTATCGTGTGTTAGTATCACTCGATGGTGATTATCAACTTGATATTAGAGGAACAAAATTTGGAGACCTAATTGGTTTTGAAAAGAAACTTATTAATAAAACAGAGTATGGATCAAAACTACCAAATATCACAAATTCGATTGATGTGTTAAATATCAACACAACCGCAATAACAGATAGCATAGTAAATGGAATAAATACAAATACCATAGCTGTGATACCAACCGATAATCTTACAAGGTCTTATCCATTTACGTTTGATCCTAAAAGACCATTGTATTGTCCTGTTTCTTCATTTCACATTGATGAAATGAGAATCTATGTTACAGACTCACTTGGAAGACCTGTAAATTTCAACGGTATAGATTGGTTTATGACTTCGATACTTCACTCCATGTAGGGAGAACCTACGGTTCCCCCCTACGACCCCCCTCCCTTGGCTACGCCGCACATAAATATATATATTCATTAGATAAAAATGATGCGACAATCAGAGTATAAAAAGAAACTTGACCCTGAATTGGGTATTTTTACAAGACAACATATTTATGGTGAAGGAATAACAGATGTGTTTAAATCTGTTGGTTCTAAATTATTTGGAAAAACAATAAAAAAAGCCGCTAAAAAAGGCGTTGAAAAAGCAGTAACAGCAGCCGCAACAAAAACCGGTGAACATGTTGGCAACAAGGCCGGTGATAAAATAGTGCAAATGTTATCAAACGGGGGGGTTGCACCCCCCCGAAATCCCCCTGCTAAAAAAGTTACTTTTAATAAAAATGTCGGGGCGGTATCTCAACAAGAGATAGATCAAATGTTGAATAACCTTCTTAGTGGGGGTTCAACACGTAAGAGAAAATTATATAATTATTAAAATAAAATGAAGTCTTTTAGAAATCCAAAATATTTAGATAGATATGAGGATGTTGTTTATGACCTGGAACAGACTTTAGATGCGGCTTCAGCAAATGACGCTCACCAAACTAAAACTGGCCTTAGATTTGTAGCTGATAATACAGGAGAATCCACTCCTTTTGATTGGTATAACGCACGATTATCAATGGATTTTAAAGTAAATAAGCTGGCAGATGGAGGAAATATAGCAGTTGCTGACCATAATGGAATTGTAAATGGTAGTAACTCCTTTATAGAAAAATTAAGTATCCTAGCAAATGGACGAGAAGTTTATAGTTGTAATTATGCGAATCATGTTGTAAATATTAAAAATTTACTCGAATATAATCCTTCATATGCCCAGAGTGTTGCTACAAACGAATTTTATTTTCTTGATACATCAACAGCCGCAGAGGAAAGGCCTGCTCAAGCAACTTATAATAAAGGTTTTCATCAAAGGAAATTACTATTAGGCGCATCAGCCACAGTAAACTGTGAAATTCCTCTTAATAGATATTCTTTCTTTGAAGCATTGGAAGATAAACTACTTCCTAATACAAAAATTGAGCTAAATATCGAAACTGAAAAAGATGCAAATTTAATTTTTCAAGGAGCTGATAATTGTAGAGTTATTATAACAAGACTACAACTTTTTATTCCAAAACTTACGTTTAATTCAGAAGGACAAAAGTTGTACATGGAAAATTATCTTAAACCTTACAAATGGTCATATTTGAATGAGGTGATTGAAAGGTCAAATAATACACAGCAACAGACAGGACATTTTAGAATTACAAATGCTATTTCAAAACCGCGGCATGTATTTGTTTTTGGAATTGATACAGCAAGAATCGATGGACAAACAGCAAATCCATTTTTATACGATACTTTTAATCTACCAAATAATGCTAATATATCAAGATGTTACCTTGAAGTTGCAAATGGAAACGAATACCCAGATATTCACTTTAAACCTTCTACAGATATGTCAAGAGTTTTTAGAAATGTAATGTCATTCGTCTATGCAAATAATGATTATCAAGGTGGAACCTTACTCAATATAAGTAATTTCAAAACTTTATTTCCTTTTGTTTATTTTGACCTGACAAAACAAAAAATGGATATCAAAGATGGAGTTACAAAACTAGCATTTCATTACGAATTAACTGCTAATCCAAACGCTGATTATAATATTTACGCATTAGTCTTACATGAAAGAATAGCAGAAATATCGCAACAAGATGGAAAACTATTGCTTAGAGCTTAAATAAGGGGAACATGTGAACTGTTAAAACTTTTCTTCTTGTACTCACGAAAAGATAGAATTTTATGATAGTTATTATGTTTACACATATATTTATCACAAATGTGAAAAAATATGTGTAAACATTTGATTGGTTAAAAAAATCATACGATAATCACGAGATTAAAAATATTACGTTAATAACCAGAACAATAGGCTTTGCCTAGACTTGCCCGTTAAGTCACAATAACCTTCTAGATTTAAAATATGATGTAATATCACACGTTAATCTCGTGATTAAAAATAAAATCTAAATATATCACACCTAGAACATTCAAACTAATTAAAAACTTAACCACCAACTGATAGAAAAACAAATAAAAAAAGATTAAGCCACGATATTTAAATTTAATATAATCATCAAACAAATAAAATGACTACTTATATTGAATACGGAGTAACACTTACAGATGGGCAAAAGTCAAAACTGGCTTCTGCGATAATAAATCAATCACCACTAACTCTTCGTTTAAAACATGGACATCTTCGAGGTTCTGATGAGTTAATGTTGACAAAAAGACAAATTGATAAAATAAAAAAATCTATTGCAAACGGTACTGGATCGGATATAAAGATAAGTAAAACTCAAATTAGAAAATCTGTGAAACATGGAGGAAACTTATTTTCATCACTCGCATCTCTTGGAGCAAAAGTACTACCATATGCAATAAAAGGAATTTCAAAAGCTGTTCCTGCATTAGCAACTGGTGCTGCAACTGCACTTGGAGAAATAGGATTAAATAAAATATTTGGAAAAGGGGGTCAGCAAGGAGGAATGATGTTTCCACCCCAAATGCTAAAAAAGGGAATTCATATTCCCCCGGAGTATTTTGCAATGCTGCCACCTGTTGTACAAGAATTTACCAAATCACAAATGAATCAGATAAACAAAGCTTATCAAACAGGCAGTGGAGTATATATAAAACCAACTCGTAAACAAATAGAAGGAGGATTTTTAGGTACACTTGCTTCTATTGGAATTCCAATGGCAATTAGTTTGGTATCAAAAATATTTGGTGGAGGGCTTCAGGTTGATAGACAAGGGTCATCTAATACAGCAAATGTTTACGTTCCTCCACCCACACATGGTACGGGTTATCCATATCGCTCACCACCCTTTATCGGTACATGGTCCAACCCTATAGGAATGGGTGTTAAAAAAAAAAAAGCCGGCAGGCCGCCCAAAGGCAAGGGTTTACTATTAGGAAAAAACAGCCCATTCAACTCAATCCCCATTCTCGGCTCCATTTTATAAAGGGGGGAGTGCCCCCCCCCAAAGCCCCCCTGCTTGCTACGCCGCATAAGTTAAGAGGGAGGGGTGTTAGGGGAACCGTAGGTTCCCCTTATTTTGAAATTAAACCGCTGTCAAACTTTGACCTCATGGAATGGGTAAAAAGACTTGGTATTAAACATTTCAGAGGAATATATAGTCGTGATGGCCTACCAAAAAAGATTAGAAAAGAATGTGGAATAATTAATCTGGATGATATAACAGGGCCTGGAACACACTGGGTTTGTTATAGAAATGGGGAAAGCCCCCAAAACCCCCCTGCTGGTGGGGAAAGTGGTTTGTATGAGTATTTCGATCCATTTGGTCTGATAATGCCAAACGAATTATTAGACTATTTTCACACGGGACCTGTAAAACCTATTGTGTACTCAATGGATGAAATACAAAATCGCAGTACTGTTCTATGTGGTTATTGGTGTTTATATTATTTATTCGAGCGACAAAAAGGTAAAGGTATTCTAGATGTGATACATAACCCTCATTTTGATAATGATAACAGCGATTTTATAAAGTCATACTTTATGGGGGGAGTGCCTCCCCCCAAAACCCCCCTGCTGGTTACGCCGCCTGAATGAAGAAAATAAAAATAATATTTAATAAATATTATTTTTTTAATCTTCATCAACCGGTGAATCCTTTAGCTGTTTAACCCTTTCAACTTTTGTATTTAGATCTTTAACACTATCAACTATATCTATGAAATTAGAGTAAATATCAATAAGACGATAAAGTTTCTTTTTTTTGTCACTATTTAGCTGCAACCAAGAATATTCCTCGTTTCTTATTTTTTTCCACATCTCACATTCACCAACCATCAGAACTCTAGAAAGATCTTCGTTTTTCTTTCTAAGAGACTCCAACTCATGATTTATTTTTGTTCTTACTTCTTTCTCAAAATCTTTTATCGTTTTAGTATCCATATTTTTTTCAATCTCAGAAAAGAATTTAGCTTCCATTTATTATATAAATAGATAATTACATGGGGGGACTGCCGTCCCCCCAAAACCCCCCTGCTAATAAACATATTATAAAAACAAATAGTTTCCTTTTACAACCTTTTTTAAAGTATTTGACTTATCTTTTATTTCCATAAGTAGCTCAAATACTTTTATAAATTTTTCATCGCTTTCCATTCTAGAAAAATCAGCGTATTCAAAACTTGCGTTTAAGTTATCATATATCTTTTGAAGTTCACTTTTAAGAAAATTAGATCTAGTAGTCATGTTTTATAATAAGGGGAACCTACGGTTCCCCTAACACCCCTCCCTCTTAACATAGAGGTGTTTTATTTATTAGTTATATAAAATTTTTATATAAACGTTATATAAAATGAAAGAAACTTATTGTATTGTAGATAAAAGAGTAACTCCTTGTACAGAACCAAGTGGTTACCAGCAAGATAAAAGAGGTAGAACTCAATTCTATTGTAGATGCGCAGTTTGTGAAAACAAAAAAGTTAGATATGTAAAAATGGGAAACTAATTAGCCCGTCTGAAGGGGCGGGCGTCTTTGATACAGTTGTTGGCACAGCAGTTGATGGATTTGTACATTACGGGCTTCCTTGGATGGGTAAAAAAGCAGTTGAAATGGGACGATATGGAGCAAGCGAGTTAATAAGAAATAAAAATCTTCAGAAAAAAGCTGTAAATTATGGGATTAATAAACTCACTCCATTTATTCAAGATTCTGTTGGATCAGCCATGGATGAACTATCAACAAAAGTGAGGCCAAATAAAAAGTATAAAACTGACAGAAAAGATTTGGATGGAGGTGCGATAGATATTCACAAGCAAATTGGTAAATTACCAAAACCAAAAGGTGGATGGACATTGCCAGGGCATAAATATACAGGCCCTTATAATGATCTAGAAAACCAAGTAAGATACAATCCGGAAACCGGCGAAATATTAGAAATTTATGATCAACCAACTGGGCCAACCGATGCTATTGCCATGCAGCATGATGTTGATTATAGTGTTTGTGGGGATGACCGAAAGTGTAAAAATAAGGCTGACAAAAAGATGGTAAAATCGTTAGATGCTATTCCTTGGAAAGAAAGACAATGGGGTCATACTTTGGCTAGAACAATAATTAATACTAAACAAAAACTTGGTCTTGGTTTAAACGCGAGTCGGCGTTGAGTAGTGATTGGTCTCAACAATTAGCCGACGAACTTCACAAACCAATCACAAGAAACTTTCAAAAGAGATCAGTAATCTCAAACGGGATTGATGAAATCTGGGCTGCTGATTTAGTTGAAATGCAAAAGTTTAGTAAATGGAATAAAGGTATTAAATATTTGTTAATGGTTATAGATGTGTTTAGCAAGTATGGTTGGATTAGGGGGCTGAAAGATAAGAAAACTGAAACTGTAAGTAAAGCATTCGGGGATGTATTCAAAAGTAAACGTAAACCTCAAATGTTATGGACTGATAAAGGTTCCGAATTTATAAGCAAACATTTTAAAGATTTTCTGAAAAGAAATGGTATCAAGCTGTATCACACTGAAAACGAGGAGAAATCTAGTGTTGTTGAGAGATGGAATAAAACAATGAAAAACAGAATGTGGAAGATGTTTACTATGAATAACAACACTATTTACTGGGATAAGATAGATAAACTAGTTGATGATTACAATAACGCTAGACATTCTAGTATAAAAATGACTCCTGTTGAAGCTAGTAAAAAGAAGAATGAAAATAAAGTTTGGTCTAATTTATACGGTGATTTAATCTACTTGAAACCTGGTAAACCAAAGTTTGCGATTGGTGATAAAGTTAGAATATCAAAATATAAGAGGCGGGTATTTGATAAAGGTTACACACCAAACTGGACAGAGGAGATATTTGTGATTGATAAAGTTCTGCCAACAAAACCTGTTACATATAACATCGTTGATCTGATGGGAGAAGAGATTAAGGGATCTTTCTACGAGAAAGAATTACAAAAAGCAAAACAGCAAACATTTAGAATAGAAAAAATTATTAAGAGAGATAATAAGAAGAAAATGGCATTAGTAAAATGGAGTGGATATCCTGATAAATTTAACTCATGGGTTAGTTCTAAGGATTTGGTTGATTTTTAATACGAAATTCGTATTAAAAAAAATAGTTATTTACTCGTTTTCTTCATCAGAGATAACTAAGTCTTCAAATACTGGTTCATTTATTTCTTCGTTATCGCTTTGCTCTTCTTCCTCTTCAATTGTTAGTAAAGACTCTCTAGGTTTAAGCGGTTTTACATAACACTCATGAACTTTTATTTGTAAAGAAGTCACAGTTTTACTTATAAAGATTCCTTCTATTATCAGAGCCAATTTCACAGTACAATACTGGCTTAGATGTTTAAAAGGATTTAGATCCTTTCCCCCCTTTCCTTTGAACAAAGATAAAATCTTCTTTGATTTGTCTGAGTAAATAAGTTTTGCATAAAGAACTGGTGAAGATGAGGGATCTTTTCTAGTTTTCTTCTTTCCTTTTTTATCAGTGTACTCTTCTTGTTTGTAGTACAATGGTGAAGTAAGAGTTGAGGCTAAATCTGGTCCATATTCATTTTCTAAATATTCTTGAGATAGAGATGTTAAATTATTAATAAATTCAAAAAATGCTTTTTCTTTATCATTTGGTTCGCTATCTTTTGCCCAAAGACATACTGGTATACTATATCCTACTAACTTTTTTGTTTCTTGATTTCTCTTTTCATTTACTCCAAAGCTAAAAAGAAATGGGGTTTCGATTACAAGTGGTCCTTTTTTGTTGTTTTGGTATTTGATTTCAATTGGTATACGCTTATATTTAATGTTACTATCTTTTACTCTTGACTCCTTGGCTTCCTTAAAAATAACGTTTTCTGAGGTTAATTGATCGTAGCTTGATAACTGCATTATGATATTTATAAATTAAATTTTTAAATTTTCATTTTTTTGGCCAAAGAAGATTTGTACTCCAATAATTTGGTGATTCTATTTTAGTATAAGTTAACTCTCCTAGTTTATTCTTTATCTTAGTAGCTCTAGCTAAATATTTGTCTCTTCTTTCTTTATCCTTATGTATTAAAAAATCTGGATAATTTGGTGAACCAAAATGTACTTTCTTTCCGCTTGGAAGTGTGGCCATATATTTATTATTTTTTCTGGTTGAGTAATCAAGTGATTCTGCACCAAGTTTTTTAGCTCTTCTAGTTAATCTTGTAAACTTATCTCCTGTAAGAATAAATTTTTCGTTTGGAACATAATCTGGGTCCTCATCGTGTCTATATCCATCATCAACTATAAAATCCAAATCCTCTTTTGTAGGAGTAGTTTCTCTCGATCTTGGTTCCATTTTTATTTAATGGTTATAGTAAATTTTTATAACAAAGTTATAAAAATTAATCAGAGTCACTGTCACTGGGTAAAATAATTTCAAAATCACTATCACTGTCACTGTCACTATCACTAGTATCATATTTTATTTCAGCTAAAAATTTAGAAGTAGCTTCATAAAATTCTATTAAACCCTTATAAGGTCCCTCATAGTCACCGTATACATCACCATCCATTCTATAATAAGAATATTCTTGAACAAAAAATATTATGTTACCCAAATCTTCACTTTTAAAATCCAAATCACCAGTATCTCCTAGTTTACCTTTTTCTCGTCCTATTAAATATTTTTTAATAAAATATTTTATTTTTTCAGCTTTTTTGCTCTTATATGTTCCTTTGTTCAAATGATGAAATTTAATTTTTAGATAGCCAAACTCATTATTTATTCCTTTAATAAATTGGTACTCTCTTTTATGTT